CATGTACCTTCGGAGACACCTGTAGTACTCCTTTATAATCACCCAGTTACGTTGTGACGTTTGGTAGTACCCAAAGTGTTCCTCCGGTAAACGGGAGATGCATAATTCTCATAGTTACAGGAACATTTATAAGTCATGAAGAAAGCAATAGCAGTATACTAAAGGATCAAGTGCTAGGCTAACGGAATGGGTCATGTCAATCACATCATTCTTCTAATGATGTGATCCCACTAATCAAATGACAACACATGTTTATGGTTAGGAAATGTAGAAGTGCATGCTCTAGCCAATGCAACCAAAAGACTGATCTGATGGAAGAGACTAGGCAGCACATTATACGTCAACACTCCCCCTCACGTGTGGCTCCCTCAGGCCTAAACGTGGACCGAAAGTGGGCTGCAATTTAATTGCGCCAGCCAGGTCTTGAACACAAGACCTCTTGGCTCCGATACCATGTAGAAGTGCATGCTCTAGCCAATGCAACCAAAAGACCGATCTGATGGAAGAGACTAGGCAGCACATTATACGTCAACAGGAAACATAACCATCTTTGATTAATGAGCTAGTCAAGTAGAGGCATACTAGTGACTATATGTTTGTCTATGTATTCACACATGTATCATGTTTCCGGTTAATACAATTCTAGCATGAATAATAAACATTTATCATGATATGAGGAAATAAATAATAACTTTATTATTGCCTCTAGGGCATATTTCCTTCATTTTGATATAATAAAAACTTTGTGTGACCAAATGGGAGAGATGATCTGTCGATTTTGGTGGGCAAAGCAGGAGAAGACCAAGACTATGCATTGGCTAAGTTGGGAACTCATGACACAACAGAAAAAAACTGGCGGTCTCGGGTTCAGAGACTTGCATGGGTTTAACTTGGCCATGCTTGCTAAGCAGGCATGGAGGATACTCACTGAACCAGAGTCCCTCTGTGCACGGGTGTTGAAAGCCAGGTACTTCCCGAACACCTCGATCCTGGAGGCACAAGCTAACCAAGGGATCTCTTACACTTGGAGAAGTATTCTCAAAGGGGTTGAGTTGTTGAAAGGGGGACTTATCTGCAGAATCGGGGATGGAACCAGTGTTAAAATTTGGTCTGATCCTTGGCTGAATAGAGAGGGTTCTCGGCGACCGAAGACAGAGCGGGGTAGATGCTTGCTGACTAGGGTCTGTGAACTGATCGACCCGGATACAGGCTCATGGGATGAACAGCTGGTGCGATACATTTTCGTAAGCGAAGATGCAAAGGTGATCCTGTCTACACCCATAAGACATGACTTTGATGACTTCTACGCATGGTTTTTTGATAGCAAAGGTACATTCACGGTGCAGTATGCATACAAGCTGTATATTAGATTGCGTGATGCGGGGCTGCTGTCCACATCCCACCCTGTTGATGGTGACATCGATTGGAGGAACATATGAAAGATCAGATGCCAACCAAAAATGCAGCAGTTTATTTGGAGACTTGCGCACAACAGTCTGCCCTTGCTTATGGGCCTGAAAAGAAGAGGCATTAAATGTGATACTTTGTGCGTTTGTTGCAGAAGGCTCGACGAGGACGGGCGCACCTGTTCTTAAAATGCAAAGAGGTGAAGCAGGTATGGCGAGCACTACAAATGGAAGAGGTACGGCTGCGTACGTGTGCGTGTACTGATGCAAGAGGAGTGGTTAAATTACTGCTAGAACTGGACGAGGAAAAAAAGACCCTAGTGGTCTGTATGCTATGGTGTTGGTGGACGAGGCGGAACAAGATAAATGCAAAGGAGAATGGGGAACCAATTGATGGTTTACTGTCGAGAATCCGTGCGTGTACTTCTGACTATCTGAACCTGTGTGCAGCAAAAGAATGTTCAGAGAATGCCAGTTGTTAGAAGGGAGAGAGGGATTGGTGGAATAGTTCTTGTTTTATTGCTTGAGCCTCGTGGGCATATATATAGAAGTACATGATCAACTTGGAGTACAAGACAAGCTAGAATAATTCCTAGTCTATCTTATGTTTCCTAACTAATCACAATACTCAACATCCCCCCGCAGTCACAATGGTAGCGACGCAGACGGTGAGACTGGAGAAGAATCCGAAGGCAAGCCAACGGACACCTCCCGACAGTCGTAACGGTCGACGCATCGCAGAGTCGTGGCTGGAGTGGCAACCGACGAGGTTCCTCAAGCAAGGCGTTAGCCCTTTGTGCCGTTTGTCGAGGTAGCCGAGAGCATGTGTGGTTGAGCCGTTGTCGAGGAAGTCGTGCGAAGAATGCCGTGGTCGATGTCGAGTCGGGGTGGCCGGTGTCGAGGAAGTCGCCGTGGAGCCGTGGGCGCAAGGGGGCGCCGAGTTAGCATGGGCGCAGTGGTGTCGAAGTAGGGGTGCTCCAGGAAGATGATGTTGTTGACGACGCGTCGCGGCGGGTTTGCCAAACCCGGGGACACATCGTGGACGAAGGCACGCACCGGTGTTGCCAGCATCGGGCATGCGTAGACGGACGAAGATGAAGTTGACGAAGCGCCGCGCCAGGCTTGCCAGGCCCGGGGACACGTCGTGGACGAAGGCACGCTGTGGTGTTGCCAGCACCGGGCATGCGTAGACTGGGACCTGCACAAGCTGTATGCCATGTAGAAGAAGTCGGAGAGGCCAGCAGAGAAGGACTCGACGACGGTTGCGGCGCCAATCGGCGCGGGGCCAATGTCGCCCGCGGATGTCGGAGTAGATGAAGCGGTCGGGGTAGATGACGGCGACGCTGGCGACGGGCTGGTGCTGGATGAAGACGAACGGGGTGGACGGGCGGCGGCAGCGGCTACGGGGGTAGCGGCGGCGGCGGCCAAAGAAGAGCGGCGGCAGCGGCCTGATGGCGGCGGCGGAGGCTAGGTTATGAGCGCGGCAGCGATGCTCGAAGTAGGCGAAGAACCCTGACGGCGTGACGAAGACCGGAGTGGACGGTGGCATTCCCGCGCCAAGGGAGACGGCGCGGCGCATACCACGGGAGGTCGACGCGCGGTGACGGCAGAGTGGACCGCGGGCCGCGGCGCTACGGCCCGAAGTGGCGACGCAACGGCGGTAGGCCGGTCGGGGCGACGGCGGGAAGACCTCGGGGTGGCAGCGGGGACCGTGGACCGCGACACTGCGGCCCGAAGGGGCGACACAACGGCGATTCGCGAGTCGGTGCAACCGCGGGGACGGCCTCGGGACAACGGCGTGGACCGCGTGCCACGCTCGCTACGGCCCGACGGGGCGACGCAGCGGCGGCGCGAGGGTCGATGCAGCCACGGGACGGCCTAGAGCGGACGCCCTCGGGGCGGCGGGGGACCGCGGGCCGCGGCACTACGGCCCGAAGGGGTGACGCAGCGGTGACGCGGGTCGGTGCAGCCGGCAGAAGAACCACGGGGCGGCGGCGTGCGGCCCGACGGGGCGACGCAGCGGCAACCCGATGCTCGATCGATGGAGAGGCGCGCTGAACTCGGGGACGATCTTCACGGGACCTGCGGAGGCGCGTGCAACCGACGGGCCAGGTCGGTCGCGCGGCGTAGATGAGGCAGATCGCGGCGGCGAGCGGGTGATCAAGCCGATCGCGCGCGAGGTCAGGGACGCCGCTCGGTGGAGGCGTGGTGGCGGCGGAGTCCGAGATGAAGCCGGCGGCGGCGGGCGGCAAGGCGGCTATGATTGGCCGCCGCATGGCGCGAGGCCGCCGGGTCGGGGTGATGCAGGAGTCCCGGTCGGAGCAGGGCGGTGACGGCCGGCGTAGATCGACGGGCGGGCCGTCACACAAACGACGGCGGTGAAGGGCCGCCGCATGACGCGAGGCCGCCGGGTCGGGGCGACCGGCAGGCCGATGCGCGGACGACGCGCGAGGCCGCCGCGTCGGGGCGACCGACGGGCAGACGCGTGGACGACGCGCGAGGCCGCCGGGTCGGTGAAGAAGCTGGCCAATCGCGCCGATGTTGGAGTAGAGGCGCACGGGATCGACGGCGGCGGTGGGCGACGCAAACCGGATCACATAGACCGGAAAACCAAAAAGTAGACGCCGATCAAAGCGACCGGCGAGAGAGAGAAAACCCGGATCAAAGGATCGGGAAAAAGACTCTCTAGGGCAGCCGGCCAACACGGCCGGCGAACGAACCCTAGGTACGGGCGGCGCGGCCCCCGGCAGCAGTCATGGAGGCAGACCGCCCCGGGGGCGGCGCGCGGGTGCGAAGGCGACGGCTGCTAGGGTTTAGGATCGACTTGCGATAGATACCATGTTAGAAGGGAGAGAGGGATTGGTGAAATAGTTCTTGTTTTATTGCTTGAGCCTCGTGGGCATATATATAGAAGTACATGATCAACTTGGAGTACAAGACAAGCTAGAATAATTCCTAGTCTATCTTATGTTTCCTGACTAATCACAATACTCAACACCAGTGTTCAGCAGGTTTGGAGAAGGCCAGTGGGTGACAAGCTAAAGATCAATATTGATGGTTCTTTCCATGCAGAGACTGGAACAGGAGGCTGGGGCTTCGTTGTACGCGACAACCAGGGGGATGTGAGAGGCTCGGGTGCGGGCTGCCTCCGGCATGTGGCCACGGCGGTACAGGCGGAAGCAATGGCGTGCTCGGAGGCCATGCAAGCTGCTGCTGATTGGGGAATGACAGACATAATTATTAAAACAGAGTGCCAATCTCTGATGCGTGCAGTACAGGGAACTGAATTTGATCTAGCACCTGAAGGAGTTATCTTCAAGGACCTGCGTCTATTTGCTCATCTGCACTTTAATTCTGTTAGCTTTTCTTTTACCCCAAGGGGCTGTAATATTTTGGCACATGTACTTGCTGCCATGGGTGCTCGTGGACAATCTCCGAAACAGCTGTGGTCTGAGGAGTTGCCGGACGATGTAAATGTTAGGACGGCCAGCGTTTCTGCTGAGCCAGTGGGTTAATGGAATCGGGTGTTTCATCTCAAAAAAAAAAGAAACTCCTGAAACTAGGGTCAGTTGCAGCACAGAGATTCTTTTCAAGATGAGCGTGGAGATCCTGGACGGGAGGACGGTGCAGAGCTTCGTGGAGGACGAGGGGGCCTTCAACGCCTCCGTCGACGGCCGCTTCGCGGCGCTCGACGCCGACCACGACGGCCTCCTCTCCTACCCTGAGATGGCCGGGGAGATCATGAGCCTCCGGGTCCTCGAGAAGCACTTCGGGGTCGACGAGGCCGGTGCCGTTGGTCCCGACGAGCTCGCAAAGCTCTACCGCTGTCTGTTCGCGCGCTTTGACCGCGACGGCGACGGTGCAGTGGACCGGGAAGAGTTCTGGGCGAGATGAAGGAGGTCATACTCGCCGTGGCCAACGGGCTCGGATTCATGCCGGTGCAGATGGTGGTCGAGGAGGGGAGCTTTCTCAAGGTGGCCGTGGATCGGGAGCTGGCCAGAGCTGCCTGACCGATTCTGTTTGTACTAGTCCGAGTGTATCTTACAGAGGCATTAAGCGAGTGAGGATAATTTTTTTGCTTTATTTACAAAACGAGAAGTGAGTAATAATGTTGAAGCCTCAATGGAGTTCAGCTATAGCTACGTAATTGTATTTACAGACATTTATGCCCTGTCGAAGAATTGGTCCGATTAACCAAGTGTTGATTATTCCCTACTAATAGGGTTATTGAGCAGCCGATAAAACTGATAAATCATCCGATAGTTGGTTATTTGATGGATTAATTTGCCGATTAGTCTATTAATCTCTTACTCGCCATATAACTAAGCAGCTACCAGTTAACGATATCCTCATCAATTTTATGTTCTATTTTCATACGAGTTAAACATCGGGCATATCATGAAATAACGACTGCTAGATAATTAGTTAGAACCATCACGTTTGTGCCAAAGGACATCTCAAACATTTATTCTCAAACCGCCAGCATTTGTTGGGACTCATTTTATCATTCAATGTGGTATCCCATCAGTCTGCAGACTGGTCCAGATGTCCGGGCAAACTAGGGGGCCTAGTGAACATTCGGATCGTTGCCACGTACGTGACTGACAACCAGACCCATCAAAACTCTCTCCCTTGCTCGCGCCCTTTCACAAGCGAAGCAGTTGCCACACAGCGTCGCTTCCGAGTGTTAGCGTTGCATTCATGCCGACATAGAGTGGCTGCGACCTCTCACTGGTGCCGGCCCTGAACTAGTGCGTCCGCCAAGAGCATCACGCACACTGCATCCCGCTGCCTGCACCTGTTCAATACCGAAGAGATGTGACTAGGCGGGACTGATATTTGCCGCATTTCAATCGGCTACCGCCATTCGCCGACTGTCATTAAACATACACACAGGCGGAGAACTTCGGCGTTCGTATTGTGGGAGAGCACGCGTTTTATGTTTGCATTCCTATTTGAGAGTGCCCCTCCCTCCTATTTGGTTGGAAGTTTCATGCTCAAGTTGAGAAAGCAAGGGCTGACCGGACTGCTGCTCACTCTTGCGCTTCAACGGCAGTATTGTCTCCATCTTTCGCCCACCCAGGGGTTAGGGTTATCTTTGGAACGCTTGGCCGGGCTGGCATCCGCTATTTAAATGAGGCCACGCCCGGCAGAAACCGCACTACACCTCGTTTTGCTTCACATACTCCTCTGTGCACCACCTCTGCCATGACCACAAGCTCTAACGCGTTGTGGGAGAGCCTCCCAACGGAGTAGAAGGACGAGCTTGTTGCCCTTGCTTATGGATCCCAGGGCCGCTGTGCGAGGCGGACAGAGGCTGGCTTGTGGGCCAACTCCCCGAGTGTCGTCGATGACGACCTGACGATGGAGACGGCCTCCGACGATGACTTGGCGTCCTTGCCCATGTTGTTCCATGCCGGCTTGATCATGAAGCAGGCGTAGACGAATTTCAACGCCGCATGGTGAAGGAGCAGCTGAAGCCACAACTGGTGTCAGCGTTCCGAAAGGCGCGGCCAGAGCCGCTGCCTCAGTGGGGAGCTCGCCAAGATTGGCAAGGACTGGCGCTAAGCGGCACCTCCGACAATGCCGGCAGGGCCGCTGCCAGGTCATCGCGGTGGGTTCGGCGTTGGCCACGGAGGCCCTCCACACGGTGCAGGAGGAAGCAGAACGACTCCTCCGCGAGCGCCAGGCGACGAGTTGGCCAGGCTGTCGCGGCACGCGTCGTTCCACCGCTAGAAGGACGACGACGCTGACACGGATGACGATGAAGACGCGGCTGCCGGGGTGGCCAAGTGTACGACGTTGTTGTCCTCTACAAGTTAGGCTCATAAGGCGTTTTTTTAATTTTTAAGTAAACGGTCAAAATATTATCTGTTTTATGCAAATTATTGTATCCGAACTGTGCAGAAATCCGTCACGTTTGATAAAATTCTTCAAGTTTGTTTAAATTTGTTTTGAAATGAATACAGACACGATTGGATAGCCGCCTCCTGCTTCACTATCCGTGGACTGGTCTCACCGATCCACGAGATGTCGTAACACTCGCATGATCCAAATCCAGCAGCTGCAGCAAACTTGTAACCCGTGTGAGAAAGACAAACATGGGCCTTGAGGCTAGGCGCACAGTGCGCGTATGACGACTACGACGTCGGCCGTCGTTACTCTTTCGACCGATGACCGATCAGTGTCAGTGGCTCGGCCTTTTGCTTGGAGGGCTTTCCATGCCGTCGCACCTATGCATATTCTGCGCGTATTAAAATTCTTCGGCACGAAACGCCGCCGTTGCTGTCAACACCGTTGTGCGACGCGGCCGACACCAGCGAACACCACACGATTCTGTGGGGAAGACAAAATACTATACTACTAGTACTACTTTGCTTACATCTGAAGCGAGTCTCGTCAACCTCGGCGCATCCCACAGCGATATTGCCGACCACCGTAACCAAATGAAGCAGCGCCAGCTATAAATACCGGCCAACACCTCTTCCCCACGTCCACAAACCGGCCGAGATCGCAACATACAACTCGTGAAACTAGGGTCAGCTGCAGCAGAGAGATTTCTTTTCAAGATGAGCGTGGAGATTCTGGACGGGAAAACGATGCAGAGCTTCGTGGAGGACGAGGGCGCCTTCAACGCCTCCGTCGACGGCCGCTTTGCGGCGCTCGACGGCAACCATGACGGCGTCCTCTCGTACCCCGAGATGGCCGGGGAGCTCATGAGCCTCCGGGTCCTAGAGAAGCACTTCGGCGTTGACGAGGCCGGCGCCATGGCACTATTAGGGAAAACCTTATACACATAATCTAACCAGTAGCGCTTGTTAAAATGAGGCGCTCCTGCTACTTAGCAGTAGCGCGTCGGCTAAAACGGCGCTACTGTTACCCGCTTAGTAGTAGTGCGGCAGGAACAGAACGCGCTACTACTATAATTGCCACACCGTTCTCGACGTGCTAGGTATAGTAGTAGCGCCCTTCTAGAAACAGCGCTACTACTACAGATTTTAGCAGCAGCACGTTTTGCCTCCCCACACTACTGTTAAATCTATTTTCACCTAGCCCCCCGCGCGGCCTGATTCCCTTTCCTCTGCTTCCTCCCCCAATTACCCACTCTCTCTTCTCCCCCTCATCGCCTCCGCCTCGCCGCCGTCTTGCCGCCGTCTCCCCCGACCCCGCCTCGCTGCCGTCTCCCCCGACCCCGCCTCGCCGCGCCTCGGTGCCGCCCTCTCCCCCGACCCCACCTCTCTCCCCGCCCTCTGTAAGCACTCTCCCTTTCCGATCCCCCTTCTCTGCTTAGTATGAACCCTAGCTATTTAGTGCTTGTTAGTATGAACCCTAGGCTATTTTTAGTGGTAGTTGGTTAATTACTTATATGGTAATTAGGGCAGTAGTTCCTGGGTACTAATTAGTTAGTAAGAACTAGGTACTAATTAGGTACTAGTTTATTTTTATTTATAGTAAGTTTATTTTTAGTAAGAACTAATTGAATTCATAGAACTCGTTAGTAAGAACTTGTTGCTATTTTTTTAGTTAAAGCAATTTTTCCCGCATCGACGTGGACGATGCCTATCCCGCATCCTCGTCGTCGAGTCGGTGGAGGACAACACCTGCTTGACCAGACGGGCCATGTCCGAGACTGGGCTCCGCCGGGGTGGTACAGGGAGGCGCTACCTACCGGGGGCGCAGGTTGGTAAGGAGCCGGCCTGTCGTTGACCGGAACCTTCTTTGGTGGCGGTCGCATGGGCCAGTGAGGGTCCAGAGGCTCGAGGACCCCGCGAAGGTGGTGCGTCACCGTGTCAGTGAGGAGGACGCGCATGTCCGTCGCTACTTGTCCACCGCCCGCGCCGATACCCGTCGCGTGCTAGTGTTTTAGTTGTATTAGTGATGTTATATGTATGACACTATTCGGGATGTATTAGTGATAATATTCGATGATGCACGGACGCATGAGATGATTTACTTTTTCTTATTGAATGCATGCTAATTTTAGTCCTATAAGATATTTTGAAATGTATATCTTGTGGTACTCAAATAGGATATGTGCTTGCCCAAGTGGCCGGTCATGTTTGCAGGTTACACCTCCGAGTGGCCTATGTTTTGCCGGAGTGTTGATTCATTTCCATTCCGGCAAATTTCAGGTGCTCGATATGTCCTATTTTAGTAAAGGTCATGCCAGATTTTTCCATGAATTTTTGCATGACTTGTGCCAGAATATGTAGGAAATATCGAGTGCCCCGAATTTGTGTGTTGAGTATCCGGGTAGTTGTCTTTGATCGATTTTCAATTAATGTTTCAACTATGAACATAGGAAATGTCTGACGACGAAAAGTATTCCGGTACTTGCAAATACTGCGAAGACGAGCGCGGCCTGTGCGACGGAATCTTCCTAGATGATGATAGGCGCTTCAACATCAAGCTGGACGAGAACTTTGAAGTAGATACAGTAAGTCACAGCGACAAGTTTTTTCGTAATTAAGCATGACATATGCTTCATTTGCTTGAACTTATAATTTATTTATTTTTACTATTCTACTAGCGTATCCCCTGCCATGCAAGAGCTTTTGTATTGGATAAGATAGGTTTCAATCGTACTATGGAGGAAAAGAAATTTTACTTGAAGACCAAGCATGGTTATATTTTCAACGTAAAATTATACAATTCAGACGACTACACCTATTTTGGATGCAAAATATGGTGAGCACTATGCAAAACTTATGCATTTGAGCCTGATATGGTTATCACCTTTGATATTCGTCCGGAAGATGATATTGAAGGTAATACCGACATCTGGGTCGATGTGCAGACGCCTCCAGTTATACCATTATGTAAGTTTCTCAACCATATTTATGTCTTTGATATTGTTTATTCAAAAATAGTTGACAACTAATTTGTATTGTCAG